TCAATTGTGCAGAGAAGTTCTGCCTGATGGTCTTATGGGGATGCCTGCTGCTGGCAGGAGGTGTGTATCCCACTGCTTGTTGAGGCTCATATTGTGGGAGGGTTCACCTCACATGAAATCACCAAGACCTCTGAAGTCTTCTCGCAAAAGAGGCTTCTGAGAAAATCTGAGAAATGGAGCACAGGGCTGACAACTTCTTCTGTGACTTCTCCATCTCACAGAGCTGTTGAAGTTCAGATCAGTGACTAAGGGACCAGTTTGATCTAGACAAGGGCTGTCCTGCCCAGGGTGATTCCAGCTGTATACAAGAGGGAATTCCCAGTGCAGAAGAATCCCATGATGCAAGTTGCCCATTTTGATATATAGGGACATTTTTTTGAACCAAAGTACTCATATTCTCAATGTCCATCTGTGATTGCAGACCTCCACAACACATCATGCTCTGGAGAAAAACCAGGACATTAAGTCCCGCCCCCAATGAAATCTGCCCGCCTGTTTTGTTGTCTTCTTGCCTTTTTCCTTCCACTCCTCCTCCGTCCCGTTTCCTTTTCCTGTGTGCTTACATGTCAGCCCCTGTACGTGCAAATCAGTAAATCAAACCATTTACATAACATTATTTTCTATGTTATCTCTGTTCTGCAAAGCGTTTCCTGCTTTCCTGCCTGCAGCATTTTCTAAGGTGCCCCTCGGCACTGAGCCCCAGTGCAGTCGTGCCAGGGATAACCCACGGGTACCTGCCAGCTCTGTGTCAGCTTCCCCTAGCAGGGCACCAGCTTCCTAAAGCTACCCACCCTCCCAGGGCTTGCTGCAGCTCTCCAAGATGGGCTGCTGGAATCTTTGCCATGGAGAGCTGGCATTGAGGATCCCTGACAGTAGCAGAAGGAGCAGATGCAATGTAAACACTAAACACCCTTTGAATCTCTGCTGCACCAGCTTGGTCAAGCCTAGCTACAGATAAAAATGATGGTGGCTAAGCGCAAAACAGCTGAAGTAAACAAAAAAACCTGGATTTATGGTGTTTGAATGGGATTTGGTGGATCCAAAACCCAGGTTTGTCCAAGGTACACACTTTGTGCATGTCAACTCCCAGTCCTTCACCCACTCCACATCCTAGAGATTTCAAATGGGAGGACAAATTTTATGACATCGTTGTATTGGATCTGGCTGAGCTGAAGTTCATTTCCCCATAGTGGCCCTCAACCTTACATGGTTGACACAATTTTTGCATTAACCTCAGATCTAATAAACAAAAACATAAGAGCTCTGCAGTCGCAAAGAGCTCTGGGTAGCCACATTAGCTCTTTGCACAGGGTGCAAAACCAGCTTGAACTTCGCTCCGAGTTTGTGAAGGTTAAACCAACTTCAACTGTTGGCCCAGAACTGCTGCTACTTTGAGTTAGTAAAAAAAATTATAAATGTGTATTCTTTGAACCGCACCCTTTTCCTCCCCCTGCTCTAACAACTGTAACCTCCTTACCCCTGTGGGTGTTAGAGTTTCCTAGTATAAGGTGGGGTTTTTACAAGAAAAAAAGGCAGACATATCTGTCAAAAGGCTGCAACCCAGGCTGCACGTGTGGTGTGAGTGGGATGTTTGGAGACACGCGTGTTTGGAGGTGGAGTTCAAAGCATGGAGACAAATCCACTGAGCCGCAGCACATTCGCTGTCACAGCTTTGGCCGTGCCACTGGCAGCATAATCTCCCAAAGAGGCTGCTAGAGCACACACCTAGCTGTGTGCTCCACCTCGTCTCGAGGGCCCCAATGCACAGACTGGCATCTCTTCACTCTCACCACACAGAGGACAAAACTGTTGTTGCCCCAGAGAAGTCAGTAGAGTCAAAGGTCTCTCGGTTGCCATGTGGCAACAAGCTGCACTCTGCCAGGGAGCTCCTGAGAGGGAATACATCAATCCCAGTGCATGAAGGGGTAGGACTGTCAAACATGATAGGGCTTTTCTTTTTGGAGTGAGAGATCTTTCCCTGGTAAGGGAATGATCAGTGACTTTGTGGATTTCCACCCCTAAGGCACACAGTTACACCACTGCATGAGTGAAAACTGAGGACGACCAAATTTCCACACACCATTCACAAAAACAGGCAAACTTAAAGCAAGAGGATTTTCCAGCGCAGATGTGAGATGCAGGCATTTATGTAACCTGAATAACCAGAAGGAATCTGACTGTGTCTACCCACCCATCACGTGTAGAAAAGCCAGTGCGTCAAAAATCTTAGCAGCTGAAACTCCCACGTTTTGCTTCCAGCAGCAGAACAAGAAGGTTTCTTCTTTCACTCCCTGCTGTGAACTAACTGGGTGTGCACGGGAAGCCAGAAAGCCGTGTGATCACTTCCCATGCTGCAAATTTAAAGCCATATTCTACCATTTTCCAAGAAAAATGAGCCTTGGAAAAAGATGAACAACTGTACAAAATTGTCTTCCTGGGTAATCTTTTGCAGAGCTTTCATATAATCATGACTCTGTGTCAGCTGCAGATGGAGGTAGGAGAGGCAGATAATCTGAAGTTTTCTCCATTTCTAGGTTCTTGTTGGTCACAACTAGGGGAAGAAAACATTAACATGGAGCATTTTCATATGCAGTGGAGAGAGAAATATCCTACCAGCTTTTCTCTTGATAGTTTCTAAATGAAAAAAAGAGTGAGTGAAAAACTCAAATCTGAAAGTCTTTCAAAGACATTGGGCCCCAGCAGTCTTCCACAGTTGTTTGTGTTTACTGGTCAATGGTGCACAAGCAATTTCTCTATCATAGTGCTATGACAATCCCCACCAATATTCTCTGTTATGCAGCACTGAGTTAAAACAAGGATGGACTCTTTTTTTCTTTTATTCTTTGGACAGTCGCTCTGCCTCAATAGCAAAATGATCAAGAGTGCAGAGAAGACACCTCTGCAGCTTAACTTGCTTAAACGCGCTACTATAAAGGCAACTGTCTGAATAGCATGCAGAAATTATATGGTAGAAAGAAATATTCTTAAACTGCTCAATCTAAACTCAATGAGGCTAAAAGAAACATTTCCATTTACTTCAATTGGATTTAGACAGAAGCCAGAGAGTTTCTGCCTTCTGCTATAAATGGTTCTTCATCTGATCTTTTTTCACTGCCTAGATATGACATCACTACACTATGAGTAGTAGGCCAGAATTTATATGACTGTACTGCTTGCATTATCTCTACCGAATACAGACTAAACTTACTTCATCTGTTTGGTTTAGTTTTGCCACCCACGGAAGCTCTAGGTCTGTGTTCGTCTCAGTCACAGAAGATCTTGTCAAAGGTTTTTTGATATCTTGACATCAGTCTTCAGCTTGCAGGGCAATGGTTGTGGGTGATGTCGATTGCGGCTATACTGAGAGAAGAATGAAGCAGCAGTGACTCTAAATAGTAACACCTTTCAGGTTCAACTGGAAGATTCAAAGGCACAGAGACATGTCATCTTCCATTTCCCTACGAGGACTATGCAATTTTCAATGTTTCATTATGAAATTTAGTTGGAAAATGCACGTGCCTCTGACTATCCTAAACCCTACATCAGTAAGAGAATAATCAGGCAGGTATTTGACTCCACAGTTGACTGCATCCAAATGGGAACTGTGACATCAAAAACACCACAGGGTAGCCCACTGGTCTCTATGAAAACTCCAGTTCTTCAGGTCTGAGAGCACTTTGCTCTTTTCTGACCCACATCTCTAAATGAAGAATGATTACCTACAGAGGAAATCAGCTCTAGTCATCTCAGAAACATCATTCCATCCTTCTTTGTGTTTTCCTTTGGGTTTGGTCTCTACACAGAGGAGGACCAAGGTGAAACCACGTGTTTGAGGAAGCGCACAGACTGGTTCCAGCCCTATGCCCAGTCAGGCTGAGCTGATACAGACAGAAATTTCATCTGTTCTCCTCTGTAGATGGAAACTGGCTTCAGCCTCTTCTTCCTCAGTTCCTTCTGGATCCAGAGAATAAATTGCTCTTCACTGTCTTCTCATCCCCAGAGACCCTCTCCAGCAAAATGGAACGAAAGCAACTTTTTCACACCAGAATGAAAGTGCATACTAAGCATTTCTTTAATTTTTCAGCAGAAATGTTTTGCTTACAATACAAGCAAATTCAGTACTCTGCCTGCCTTAGGTTACCACCCAGTTCTACCCTATCCTACCTTAGCCCCAGCAGCCTGCAAGCACTGGCAGACCCTCACAGGGTCCTGTAAGCATTGGGTCCACTGCAGGTGGAATTGGTAGAAGTTGATGGGTAAGTTGCCTGAAAACTTAATAAATCTGTTCATAACTGACTTTTGCAGAGTCACACACAACATCTTCAAAAACACTTGGAACAGATCCCACAAACAAGGTCTGGGCTGGCAACATAACATCGGGATCTTCTTCCTGCTTCACTTAAGGCCTGTGCTAGAGCACTTGGCAAAGATTATGTGCTCCTTTGTATCAATGCTCTTTGCTAATAAGGAACTCCTGCAAATGAACACTTCTTCTTGAAGCTGCTCAAACCACCATCTCATTTTCAGCCTTTTCTAGCACTGCTGGCACCAGAATAGTCTCTCCCCCGTGTCACCACTCCCTTCTATTGGGGTCTAATACTGGCTCTCACCTATTTCAGTACTTAGCCATTTCACACACAGCCAGGTGATTACCTCCACCCTACAAATAAGGAATAAGCACCTATCACAGGCATCCTGCTCCTGAGGAGTCAGGAGGGTTTGGGGCAGTTCATTGGTCTCTTGTCCCTCCAGGGCACATCAGCACAGTGATTAAGGTGCACACTTAGCACGGGAGCCCAAATAGAGTCTGGCAGTCACAAAAGCATCTTCCCACCCCTGTACAAGTGACAGAATTCGATAGCAAACACTTTCCTTTTTAAGGCTTCTTCTCCTAACTCCTCTCCTGACAGCACTGGTCAGCCTCTTTCTGTGCACACCCAACTAAAAGTGACACAGTTGGAGAGTCTGGTGAAGTTATATGCTTTCTTTTTTGATCGTCACTTATGACTGCACGTGGGGGAAGTTAGACACTTCCTGCAGTTTTTTCAGAGCAGCCTGTGAGTACGGCAGGAGCTGGAGCACCCCATCGTCTCCTCTGCAAACCAAGAAAAAAAAAGTAAGTGTTCTGTCTGCAAGGCAAGGCGTTGCTTCTATTTAGCATCATTTTGCTTTGTTCTAGTTTGGTCACTGCTTCTCCATGCTGTGGGTTTATGCTTAAGAAATGCAGACCCTGTTGATGTTTCACCATAGTCTAAATCTCCTTGTGATTGACATAACAGCAAAAAAGTGTTGTTGGGTCTGTATTAATTAGAGTTCTCTGCAGATTGCGAAGTCTTTCCTACCTGTCTTCCTTACGAACTCTCTTTCCTATAAAAAACACATTTCTCTTACAAATCAACTTTAGTTCCAGTCAGGGACAGATTAGGATTGAAGGATTTTGGCAGGATACAAGTTGCTGTGAGTTTAGATTTAGCTATTACTGCAGTGCATGAGGCATGAATACAGAATTATAATAGAAATATGAATGCTGGGTTTCTTTTGAGGAGAATTCACAGCCAGCCTTTCCTCTCATCCTTACTCTGCTGGAAAAGCAAGGCAGGCATTTAACTGTGAAGTTTACCTGCTGGTCTATAGTGCCTAATTTGATATACTACATTCCTTCTTTTTCTCCATCTTTTATTCACACAGTACTGCTGATCTCTGGCACTCAGCATGAATTCTGAGTTAATATTTGGGATTTGACTACTTTGCCAAAGACCAAAGTGCATCTGGTGTTATTTTAAACCTGCCCTTCCCATAATCCCACTTAGGTCTGCTGCTGCCTCTAAACCAGCAGCTCCTTAACTTCCAGTAACCTCATCGTGATGGGGCGCGGGGCGTTTAGGGTGGCCAGGAGGAGGCAGGGGGAGAAAGAAAGAAACCTACTCATTCTGCTTGTTAGCACTTAATAGGCAAGAGTGGTTTTCTTCTGAGAACTTTTCCACAGTTCTGTACACAGGACTCTACATTTACAGAAATCTCACAATTTGAATTGATCACTCCCTTCTGTACAGATTTCTGCCTGAAATGCAGATGGCTCTTTCAGGTTCAGCATTTCCTATGCCTCTCTGGGAGCCATTGATCTTAGAGCCTCATCACGATCACACAAACAGCGCTGCTGTCAAGTGTCAGGACACTTTGGGAAATATCCAGCAGCTGGGATTTTTACATCAACAACTTCCAGGGTAGACCCTGAGTGTCCCAACAAAGAATGAGGTGCTCATTGTGGTAGATGTACAAAGAGTCAGGAGAGATCAGAGCTGAGGATTCAGACAAGACACTACAGATTTAGCAGATGTGAGTTGGCTTACAGGGACATCAGAGTCGTGTGTAGGTGCAAAGGGGAATCTTTGAGCGTCACAGTTTTTGTTGGTATGACTAAGGTCTTAAGGGGAAAACCTTGATGCCAGTATGGGAGTTGGTAGCTATAGGAGGAGACCCAAACATCAGAGAAGGAAAATGGAGGTTCCCCAATTAGTTGAATCATAGGACAAAAGGGAACAAAGAAATTGAGTTTCATGGTAAATGGACAAGGGGGAAATATATGTGTCTGAGTTCAGAGCACTGTTAAATACCATCTTTAAGCACCCTGTTAAAAATAGGATTGTTTAGAGCATAGAAGGCACAGTGGTCATCACAAGGCTTTGCAGACCCTACCTGCTGAGACACATTCACTTTAGGCAAAAGTAAAAAAATTTTGAGGAGAACTTAGCTAGACTTCTGTGACAACCAATATGTCAGTGAACTTAAGTCTGGCAGATCATAACATTATTTTGGGCATCTTTTTGCTTTGTTTTTCCCCCGTAACCTCTTCAGTACTGGTGATACTACCACAGTAGTGCAGCTCCCATGTCAAAGCAGCTCCCACACATTGGGAGTGCCAAGACCCCCAGGGGGAGAATTAATCTACTATCACAAGGTCAAAACTCAACACTGTCTTTGCACTTTTCTGCTCCTGGCATCCTGTCCATGCTCACTCTTTGCAGTCCAGTTAAGCCATGTTCTGACTGGGGGATTTCAGAGGGATGGAAGAGACAAACATATTTTGGGAATGTAGGAAAATCCTGAGATCCCTGTGACTGTCACGGTTGCAGTGAAAGTGTCAGTGCAGGATGAAGGGAAGCTTGTGAACCTGGGAATTTGATCAGATGTGTTTGGTTATGAATAAATATTCTCTACAAGTGTCACTGCCTGGTGCCACTGGACATTTACCGCTGAGCCAGCATCCTCTGGCTTCCGTGGGAACTTGACAGAAGAGATATGAGCTACCATTTGTGAATCTCCTGGTTTGAAAACCACTGATTGACTTGGGACAGAGGAGGAAAAGCAGCAGTGGGATGGTGAAAGGTGGGAATGAACCGTGGCAGTACAGAGACCACATACAGGGAAAGACAGACCCAGGTGACGACAGGTTGCCAGGATGAGAACAGGTCAGGGATGGAGGACAGAGCCTGGGCCCGACAGTGACAGGCCAACAGCATGCAGGACCATGCCTGGGTAGACACAACCCTTAATAAAAACAAACCAATGCATGAGAAACAAACAGAGCCATTAGCCAGGCACCATCCACAGCCAAATTAAAACAAGCAAAGCTGCATACTGCAAGGTGGGATAACTGAATGATCACTAAAACTCACATTCTCTACCCAACCCTGCTACAGCATTGCTCTGTTCTTGTGTGGCAGCAAGAGTTCCCACAGCCTCTGTGGAGCCAGGAGCACAGAGTTGCTGAGTGCCAGACAAGGGATGCCACAAGCCACAGGCATGGCCATGCCTCATGTGCTGATCTCGTTGCCTGCCTACGAGGTGATGAGATCCAATCTTCACACCTCTGGAGGTGATGTCCTCCTTGCAGAACAAGTCTCTCTCTTTACCACAGGGTGGCTGTGGTTGTCCTCTGCTTCCTTAGGATTTGATGACCTTTATTGATGCCTGGCATTGGTCCAGGTGTCACACATGGCCGTGTGCTGGCATTCCCTGAAGGGTGAGGTGTATGGCCTCAGTACAGAAATCTCCAGCAACTCCAGGTGTACAGTTCTGCACCAGAGATGACTTTGAGTCACAGTAGTTTGGAGGGTGCAAATGGCTCTAGTGTGGGCTTTCTGTGGCTCCTAGTGTGTTTCTAATTTCAGGTGCCAGAGTTTTGGCAGGAGTGTCCTGTTTGAAGGCCAAAGGCCAAGAATAAGGAGGAAGATGTCCTAAGTAGCTGCTGGGGAAATCCTAAAGGATAACAGAGCACTCTTTTTTAAGGGGTAGACCTGTGGGTTTTGACATGAGCCTTGGTGCTTCTTTGTTCTTCTGCTTGAAGTCAGATTTTCCTTAAATCTGGCAATTAGACACACTCAGCTCTAGCTCCTTGTGTTGTTAAAACAGCCTGCTCCCCAACACCCCAGCCTGCTCTTTTGGGAGTCCAGAGCAGTATTTATCCATGTGTAAGCCCTCACTGCCAAATCTGCAGATATTTGGGTGTGCTTTGGCATCCACGAGTGCTCTGGTGCAGGAGAAAGCAGATGTGCATGGGAGTCACACTTCTCACCTTTTTCCAAGACTTTGCAGTTCCAGCATGAGCCAGTAAGAAAGTTTGGCCAGTTAGGTTTCCAAATGAGCCACTTGATTAACAGAAGCCATATACAAATAGATCCCATAAACGAGGCTACCAGTTAAGCTGTGACAGCTTTAGGAAGTCATTGAACAGGAGTGCCTGATGGCTTTGTATGTGAAAGTGTGAGGAAGAGGGTGTGAAGCAGAGCTGCTCTCAGCTACTCACTTTCACTGACTCTGCTCCAAAACCTATGCTTTCCTCAGCCTTTTGACTTGACAAGCTTTATAGTTTAGCCTCACATGTATGAGAGCTTTTCTGGAGTTCCTGGTGGCCCTTCTGGCCATGAAACTGTTCCTCTGGCTCCAAGACCCTTTCCAGACAAGCTAGTAGATACCATGGAGTAAACCTCCCCTGCAACAGCTGCTCCCTGATGGTCCCAGGGAGGACTGAGAAACTTTGCTAGGTCCAAAAGTCCCAAAATTATGAGTCACAGCCTTTGAATCATGAGACTGGAGAAAAAAGTCCACTGGTACGGGTGGATTTTGGAGTCATATTTTTCATCTGTGAACTTCCCCTGTGTGCAACGTATGACATTTGAGTAGTTTTACCAGCTTTTAGATATGTTTAATGAGACAGTTTTAAACCCTGTATCAGGATGTTCTGTTAACACATCTTTCTCCAAACCACCTGGCATGCTCTCTCCTGTGCAATCCCTCTCTGGGTAGTGTAACATGGCACTAGGACACACAATTTAGGGAAGGATCACTATCTTAAACTGGGTCCCTTGTCAACCTTGAATTATGACAGTTCCGCTTATTGATACCACAGCTGCTTATTTTAGCAAATTAGCACATTTACTACTATTGTGGGATTTGCAGATTGTGGAAAGGGGGAAGTGGATCTATGTAAAAACACCTCCACAGAGGCATTTAAAAATCTATAGTTTCAAAAAGTTCACATCTATGAACAGAGTATCATGAGACAAATCAAACATCTTCCTCTCATCAGAAATGATTGCTGAGCTCCCCTCCTGAAAGGCAATTGGTTAATAGCCTCTCTCGTTTAACAAATATCTTCTCTATTTTTGTAAGACTGCTTGTATCTGCAGTATAGAGTTAAGTATTAAGGCTGTATAACTAATCCCAAAGTCTGGCTGCTTCCTGACAGTAGTTATTTTCAGCCTACAAATGCCCCATGAATCGTTTTAACCAGCACTAGTCAAGAGAGGGGTTACCTGCTTCACCACAGTGGAGGAAAGATATCTTAAGATGGCGTTGTGCTCAGGCTGAATTCCCAGTATAGACTTGTAATTTAAAAACACCCTTTTTTCTCTACAGAGTTTTGAAACCATATAGTTTGAAAATTATATACTCATATATTACATTCAAATTTGAAACAATGTTTTTGAAAATACTCACTTTTATGTTCAGATTTCAAATTATATAACTTCAAGTCCTACTGTCTTGCGTGTGTCAGTAAAGCAGGGTAATTAAGTGGAGCCATTGCTGGTTTTCCTTTTTCATGCTGAGATTTTCTTAT